TAAGGAAAATATTCGCTGAGTTTCGGTTCATTTTTGTGAAGCGCTCCTGTTCAAAACCCGAGACGGCAAGCGGATCCTGTTTGTTTTTGTTTTTGTTTTTTTTATTTTACAAAAGCACGAAGTTTTCTTGATATTGTGAGTGCACACAAATAAAAATAGACCCTTTACAGTTCCGAACAATGTATTATTCTTACCTGTATGAGCAACAATGACGGCGTATTTAATTTTTTTCCACTGATGTCCTGAAGCGCGCTTCAGCTTCCACTCTCCACACAAACGATTGGATATGCGCCTAACAGCGCACATTTATATAGGTTAAAATGTTTAAACTAACATTGTGATGTGCTTTAAGTAGGCCTATTTTATATCTATAGATTTTATTTTCGGCAAGTCGTAATTTCAACATCGTCTGACATTGTCTCATATGATGCTCATAAGTTTCTGCATATTGCGTTAATATCTGATAACACCAAATCAGTAAAAAAATTAAAATTGCACTACGAAAGATCTCCATGATTATGCACTTCCTGTTTTTCCCTGCTTGAGAATTTCTGTCCAATGAGTGGATGACCTTAGCACACGTGTGGTTTTGTTTAGAATTTCTGGTTCACTTGCAAAAAGGGCAGTGTGAAAGCGAACCGCACCAAACTAAAAAAATCAACATTGTATTTGGTCCGGACCAAAGCAAGTGAACTAGCGGACTTTCCTGGTGTGAATACACCCTTAGTAATATCTGATTGTCTCCGTCTATCTGCAGACACTTGACTCTGTCTCAGAGTGACATGGCCGCACTGACCGGAGGAAAAGGTTTCCCCTTCCTGTTCCAGCACATCAGAGACAGCATCAACATCCGACAGACTTGCAACCTCATATTCAGCCTCTGCAGATACAACAACCGCCTGGCTGAACATGTAAGACGCACGCTAGCTACGCACGTAGTGTATCTCAGTGTCCTTCATGTATTTCTAAGAATGCAAACAATTATATCAAACTATAACATAACTTCTCATGGTTTGTGTTCTTCTGCTGGTATAGATCGTGTCAATGCTGTTCACCTCCATCGCTAAACTGACTCCAGAGGTAAGAACAACTCTACTACTATTATTGATTCATTATTTGATTGTTCCACACACTAACTAACATTTTGTGCATGCCTATCAGGCGGCAAATCCGTTCTTCAAGCTGCTGACGATGCTGATGGAGTTTGCTGCAGGTCCTCCGGGAATGCCCTCGTTTGCGTCCTACATCCTGCAGAGGATCTGGGAGGTAAATCGGCTCACAGACAGCCCCATCACTCTTACACTTTCTCACTTCTTCACTGAAATGTTGCTTCACATGTGAGTTTTGTGTCAGTGATGTTTGGAGAGCTTCATACGCTGATGTTCTGATCTCTGTCTGTCAGGTGATCGAGTATAACCCGTCTCAGTGTTTGGACTGGTTGGCCGTTCAGACTCCGCGTAATAAGCTGGCTCACAGCTGGGTCCTGCAGAACATGGAGAACTGGGTGGAGAGGTTTCTGCTGGCGCACAACTACCCACGAGTCCGAACATGTAAGAACACACAAAATCTACACACACACATGCATTAAATTGACCAAAAATATTAACTGTTTTCAACACGTATAATAATAATAAATGGTTCTTGCGCAGCAAATCAGCATTTTAGAATGATTTCTGAAGGATCATGTGACACTGATGCTGAAAATTCAGCTTTGATAACAGGAATAAATTACATTTTAAAATACTGTATATTTACATAGAAAACAGCTATTTTAAATTGTAATAAGATTTCACAATATTACTGTATTTTTGATCAAATAAATGCAGCCTTGGTGAGCAGAAGAGACTTCTTTCAAAAACATTAAAAATCTTACTGACCCCAAACCAGTGTTATTTTAAAATTATTGATATTATATTATAGTTTTTGTTAATATTTTAAGTTAGATTTTTTTAAATATTTTCTTTTTTCATTTTAGTTTTAAACATTTTATTGTGTATTGATATTTGTATTGGTTTTTTTTTTTCTTTTAAATGTCAATTTAGTTTTTATTAAGTTTAATTTATTCGTTTTACTTAATTTAGTATTTTAACTAAAACTAAATGAAAATGAGTACTGTTGCTTTGGCAACTAGCTGAAATAAGTCATTCATGTATTTTATTTTATTTCGTGCAACTAAAATGTTTTATTTTTTATTGTTTTACTTTATGATAATAACGCTGGCCCAGACTTTTGAACTGTAGTGTATATATGAATACACACATGATAATAGCATCAAGAACTACACACATGCTTAAAAATATCTGAATGGATAACATTTAGGTGTCCAAACAAACATCTACAACATGAATAGCTAATCTTATTTTTATTTTGCCTGGTAAAATGTCAGATTGTACATTATTTTGTGACATATAATAAATCTCTCTCTCAGCTGCGGCGTATCTGCTGGTGTCTCTCATCCCGAGCAACTCCTTCCGTCAGATGTTCCGCTCCACACGCTCTCTTCACATCCCCACGCGGGACCTCCCACTGAGTCCCGACACCACCGTGGTTCTGCACCAGGTCTACAACCTGCTGCTGGGCCTGCTGGGCCGGGCCAAGCTCTACGTGGACGTGCCGGTGCATGGGACCACCAAACTGGTGCAGTACTTCAGCTTCATGACCTACTGCCTCATCTCCAAAACCGAGAAGCTCATGTTCTCCAGCTACTTCATGGACCTCTGGAACCTCTTCCAGGTACTTCACGTGCAGACGAAAGCATGTCTAGGTGCTCATATGATGCATATTTGAGCTCTCATGTGTCTCTCTCGATCTCACAGCCTAAGTTATCAGAGCCAGCCATCGCCACGAATCACAACAAGCAAGCGCTTCTGTCCTTCTGGTATAACGTCTGCATGGACTGCAGCGAGAACGTGCGTCTCATCGTCCAAAACCCAGTCGTCACAAAAAACATCGCCTTTAACTACATCCTAGCCGATCACGATGATCAGGAGGTGGTGCTGTTCAACCGCGGGATGCTGCCGGCGTATTACGCCATCCTGCGCATGTGCTGTGAGCAGTCGCCCACCTTCACCCGCCAGCTGGCCTCACACCAGAACATACAGTGGGCCTTCAAAAACCTCACGCCCCACGCCAGCCAGTACCCAGGGGTGAGCACAACATCCTCTGTCCTTCACTTCAGCAGTTTCTGAACCAGTTACCAAAGTTATTACAAGAAATATGACCAAACACATATTTGTCTTTCATTTATATGATAGTTTATCAGTAACTACACCACCATTCAAAAGTGTAAGATTTTTAGATGTTTTTGAAAGAAGTGTCTTCTGCTCACCAGGCTGCATTTATTTGATCAAAAATACAGTAAAAATAGTAATATTGTGAAATCTTATTACAATTAAAAATAGCTGTTTTCTATGGTAATATATTTTAAAATGTAATTTATTCCTGTGATATTAAAGCTGAATTTTCAGCATCATTACTCCAGTCTTCAGTGTCACATGATCCTTCAGAAATCACTCTAATATGCTGATTTGCGGCTCAAGAAACATTTCTGATTATCAGTGATAAAAAGAGTTGAGCTGCTTTAATATTTTTGTGGAAACTGTGATGCATGTTTCAGGATACTTTAAATAGAAAGATCAAAAGAACAGCATTTATTGAAAGAAATGTTTTTTTACATTATAAATGGCTTTACTGTCACTTCATCCATTATCATTATTTATTATGCATTTTTTAATTTATATATTTGTTATGTTTATGTACTTTTGTTGTTTAAATAATGTTTATTGCTAGAAAAATAAAATCTGCATTTAAACAACATTCCCAAATTTTGATAACAGGTTTGTTATTAATCTCATATTAATAAAATTAATAAAATAATGCCTATAATAATGCTGCATTTAGTTTGATCTCAAGTTATAAACAACATTTTCAGAGAGTTAAGCATTTCAGTAAACATTTTGTTTATTAATAGTATTTTGTTGAGGTTCAAGCCATGTTTTCACAACATGTGCCTCCTGTTTCTGTCTGAGGGAATATGATGTCTGAATTTAAGTTTCAGCTGTTCAGGTTCATTCAGATCAAGCAAATAACAGCATGTTTTTTCTTTCTCTGCAGGCGGTGGAGGAGTTGTTTAACCTGATGCAGTTGTTTGTGGCTCAGAGGCCTGATATGAGAGAGGAAGAGCTGGAGGACGTAAAGCAGTTCAAGAAGACCACCATCAGCTGTTACCTGCGCTGTCTGGACGGACGCTCCTGCTGGACCACTCTCATCAGGTACACACACACACTCCTTCAAATCTGAGTATTTATTTTACAAGACGGAGCCATTTTCATTCATACTAAACTCTTTGTGTACTCTCAGTGCCTTCCGTATTCTGCTGGAGAACGATGAGGACAGACTGCTAGTGGTGTTCAACAGAGGCCTCATCCTCATGACTGAGGTATCCATACTCTCACTCTTTTCATGCATCTTCACATTTTAATGGACTGTCCTGTAGAATTAAATATCTCTGTGTCTGCAGTCCTTCAACACCCTGCACATGATGTACCATGAGGCTACTGCGTGTCATGTGACCGGAGATCTAGTGGAGCTGCTGTCCATCTTCCTGTCTGTTTTAAAGGCAACGCGACCCTACTTACAGCGCAAAGGTACTACATTACCCACAATACACCACACATTTCACATGGAGGTTATGATTACCCGTAATGCACCTTAAATAAATAACTCCAGAGTTCTTCATTACTCATGCACTGTAACATTCAATACAGAAGTACTTTATTACCCATAATGCACCTGAATAATCAATGCTAAAGTACCCCATTACCCATAATACACCTTACCTTGCAATACAAAACTACTCATTACCCATAATACACCTTCATGTACAGTGCAAGTACTCAGTACCCAAAATGCACCTTGCAATGCCACGCAAAAGTACTTATTTACCCAAAATACACCTAAATGTGCAGTGCAAAACTACTCATAATGTGCATTTATCATGCAATGCAAAAGTACTCTATTAGCCTTAATGTACCATAACCTGCAATACAAAACAACTCATTGCCCATAATCCACCATAACGTGCAGTACAAAAACTACACATTACCCATAATGCACCTATAGAATTAATACTAAAGTACCCATTACCCACAGTGCACCTCATGCAACACAAAAGTTCCCCATTATCATGCAATTTAGCATGCAATGCAAAAGTACTACATTACCCATAATGCACCATAATGTGCAGTACAAAAACTACACATTACCCATAATGCACCTATAGAATTAATACTAAAATACCCATTACCCACAATGCACTTCATGCAACACAAAAGTACCCCATTATCATGCAATTTAGCATGCAATGCAAAAGTACTTGTTAGCCCTAATACAGCTTAATCTGCAGTTTAAAAGTACTCATTACCCATAATGCACCTGAAAAATCAATACTAAAGTTCCCCATAACCCATAATGCACCTTATGCATTACAAAAGTATTTACCCATAATACACCTAATTGTGGAACACAAAAGTACTCCATTATCATAATTCAATATATCATGCAATGCAAAAGTACTCATTACCCATAATACACCTAAAGAATCAATTCTGAAGTACCCCATTACCCTTAATGTGCCTTATGAAATACAAATAGTTCTCAGTTACCCATAATGTACATGCACTGTAATCTCAGTCACTGCTCATTTGTGCATGTCTGTAGATGTGAAGCAGGCGTTGATCCAGTGGCAGGAGAGGATTGATTTTGCTCATAAGCTGCTGACGCTGCTGAACTCTTACAGCCCACCGGAGCTGCGTAACGCCTGTCTGGGTGAGTCACCACATCCACGAACCAGATTTCAGATAAACCGAAGTAGCAGATGAACGTGATCTGAATGTGCATCTTTATCATTCTCAGATGTGCTGAAGGAGCTGGTGCTCTTGAGTCCTCATGACTTTCTGCACACGCTCGTGCCCTTCCTGCAGCACAACCACTGCACTTACCACCACAGCAACATCCCCAGTGAGTCCCGCCAAACCCTTCATACACACAGCACTGATCATCATCATCACGATCACCGTGATCTCTAACACTGTCTGTGTGTGTTTGCAGTGTCGTTTGGCCCGTATCTGCCCTGTAGAGAGAATATCAAGCTGATGGGCGGAAAGAACAACATTCGACCTCCCAGACCGGAGCTCAACATGTGCCTGCTGCCCTCGATGGTGGAGACCAGTAAGGTGTGTATGAGACCAGCGCATGAATCCTGTCACACGCTGAGCTTGAGTTATTCATCGAGTGCGTTTTGTGTTTCCTGTAGGGTAAAGATGAGGTGTATGACAGGATGTTGTTGGACTACTTCCTGTCGTATCATCAGTTCATTCACCTGCTCTGCAGAGTTGCCATCAACTGTGAGAAGTTCACTGAGACTCTGGTGAAACTCAGTAAGGATGCTTCACTCTTGAAAGCTCTGTTTGACTATGTGTTTGTGTGTGTGTGTGTGTGTGTGTGTGTGTGTGTGTGTGT